GCGCCGGGGAGGCGGGGTAGCCGGGAGGAGAGGGCCTAGATAGGAGGGGCTGGCCTGCGGGAGGGGGCCTCGCGGCTCACCCTGCCTGCGGATGATGTCCACCAGGATGTCAATCACGATGATGGTGCCAGTGCGTCCGATGCCGGCGCTGTGGGGACGGACCAGGAGGCCTGGGAAGAGTTTAGGGGAGAAGGCCGCGGCCCCGCCTCGGGTTGCACCTGCGTTGCCCGCCCACCCCATCCCCGGTCGCACCTGCAATGCACCACCATGGGTCCGGCCCCTGGCATGCTGCTCTGTGCCCTGTTCACTTGGTCCAGGAAGTCGAGGACGCCGGCCGGCTCGGCCGGGACCCCGTGGTCTGGCCAGCTGAAGTACTGGTAGTGCTTCACTGTGCGCGGTGGCTCCCCCTGGGCAGGGCGGGCTGGTGAGTGCCAGCCAGGCCAGAATGAGCAGTTCCCAGGTGGGGCCGGGCCACAGGGTCAGAGTGGCACTGCTGTGACCTCCGCACCCCCAGGGCATGAGCTGGGAGGAGGCGGGGATTGCCATAAGGAGTGACCAGCAGGGTCAAGGCTGAGCAGAAAGGCTTGGGAGGGAAATAGGGAATTCAGGGCGTGGGGGCCCTCAGATGGCCCCAGGTGGCTCAGGCCCCTAGGGGAAGGAAGAGGGTGTGATGGGGTGAGGGAGCAGGTTTCAGGGACAACGACCTCCATTTGGGAAGAACCAAAGGGATGGTTAGACATAAGGGACGGGGTGGGCCATGGGAAGGGATCTGTGCCTGACACGAAAATAGGGTACCACGGGCATATGAAGGGCACTGAACCTGCTCAGTTGGCGCAGGGAAAGCCTGGGGAGGGCGAGGCGGCGTGGGTGTGAGGCCACCCTGGAGTCGGGCACCTGGGACCAGCGGCCTAAGGTTGAGATTGTGGCCTGCCTGTGAACGCTGCCCAGTAGAGCCCAGGCCAGGACTGTGCCCACTGGGTTGAGGGATATGAATACCCCCAAGGCCAATGGGCTTGGATGGAGCCACGTGGGTGGGTGGGTTTTCTCTCCCAGCACAGGGCTCACCCCCAGCGCAGACCTGGGGACCTCCTGACCACTGTGACCCTGGCCCTGCATATCTTGTGGCCCTCTAGGCTCACCTGATCTGGCCGCCACACCTGCAGTTCCCGCACACAGTAGCCCTGGGCCTGGTACTCAGCCAAGTTGCAGACACACACACGGCCATGTTCTTGGCGGCCATGCAGCTCTGGCCAATATCGGAAACATTTGTTCTGGGAGGGAGGGTGCATTGCATCAGCTGTGCTGGAAGGCCACCTGCGCCCTTGCCCCTGTGCCCTGTGGGGACTCATGCATGCACATGCATCCGCAGGGGCTTTCCAGAGTCGTCCGCCGCTCCCCCCAGCTTCCCAAAGGCTGCAGGAGAAGAGAGGCTGGGCCAGCCACCACACGAACACGTGGTGGGGACAGGGCTGTCAAACCCAAGCTCATACCCGGCCTCGCTCCACCTCCCTTGTGGCCATGACAATGACACGTGTGTTCTCCTGGTGCACCATCGCCCAGAAGGCCGCCACTGTGGTCTGCAGACAGCCCTGGGTAGCGATGTATACCTTGCCCTGTCCGTGGCCTGGCTTCTCTTCTGGATCACTCTGTAAGGGGATGGGGGCCAGGTGTCTGCAGTTTCCAGGATTTAAAGTGCCAGAGGACGATGCAAGTCTATGCAAACGATGTGCAAAGTAGCAGCAGGTGGCTCACACACAGCCCCTCCTGCCCTAGGTGAGGGAGGAGCTTAGGACCAATATTTAGTCCGGCCCACTCTGAGGACTCCTTGGAAACCACCACAGTCCCTCTCCAACAACGTCTACTGTCCTGTCAGGGTCCATGGGTCGTTCCTGGGCCCGCCAGAAAGAGCTCCAGGTCCATAATAGGGGGATGGGGTGACTGGTGTGTCCACACGTGGCTCAAGATGTCTGTCGGATCCACGCGAGACTACGCACACAGCCGGCCACACACACCTGTCTCTCGCACACCCACCCTGATGTAGTTGGCGTTGATGTAGTTGGCTCCAGGCACGCTGTCGTCCACGTCATGCAGGGTGACACGGGTGGTATCAACTGGGAAGGGGAAGATACTGCTCGGGTCTCCGGGGGGGTGGGGGGGGATGGACCCACCTGCCTCCTTGCCTGCTGACCCCATGGTGAGCAGGAGGAGGGAGGAAGGAGCCCTGAATGTGCAAGAGGGAAAAAGTCACACCGGTGGTGGGAAGTGACATCCGGCCTCAACCTCCCCAGGGCCCCTCCTTGCCAGATGGGCCCCACATGGAGTGGATGGAGCTCTGGCCCCCAACGAAGCCCCCGCCCCTGGCCCTCACATGGAAGGATGTTCTTGTAGCGATTCTTGGCTTTGTTCTCCAGCCGCTGTCCCTCCTTCCGGGGATACAGGAGCTGGCATTCCTGCTGCTGCAGCATCTGGGCGGGGGCAGAAGCTTCAGCCTGCTGCCCCACCCTCCCCCAGAGCCTTCAGTGACTGACCTACCTCCCCTCTGCTGGCCCTCACCCCAGCACCAAAGGATGGGAGTCTGTGGGAGAGTGGGCTGTAGGGAGAGGGGCGGGCACCTCAAACTCCTCCCAGAAGCCCTGCTTGGCCTTCTCGCCGGTGTCAGTGGCCCCGGTGAGCTCCTGTACTCGGCTCTCGATGCTTGCGGCATTGATCCTCGTGGCCTTGAGGGGCTGGCACGGAGAGGCCTGCGTCCAGGCTTGGCAGGGCCCAGCAGACCCCACAGCGCCCCCCAGGGGCGGCTGCTCTGGCCCCAGATTGGCCACCCTGCCCTCGGCACTGGCTAGCATCCTTTTTCCTGGGCACCACTGCCCCTGGGGCCCTCCCACCCCAGGGGTGCAGCTCGCTCCGGATCCTAAGGGTCATGTGCCTTGGGGCGTACCTGCTTGAGGTGCACCACGACCCCCGACTTCTCCACCATGGGGTTCTTCTTATAGCACTCCACCAGGTCTCCAAGGGTGTTGAACCGTTCCCCACCTCCCACGTCATACGTGCCGTCTGGCTGTAGGGGCAGCAATGAGGGGCCCGGCCGCTGCCGCCTCCAGAGTCACAGCCCTACCTCACCCCTGCTGCCACCTCCCACCTGGAAGCGGATCATGATGTGTGTGACCCGCGGCCGGCAGTCTGCCTTGTCCAGCGGCTGCGTGAGCACCGACAGCACGAAGTCCCCGGGTTTGCTCCGACTCTCCCGCACCAGGAAGGTGCCTGGATGTCCTTTTTCCATCAGCAGCTGCTCGGCCTCCTGTCCAGACAGGTGCCCATGGTACCACCTGGCCCAGGTGGAGGTGGGAAGGTGAGACTGGAGGCCATGGCCTGGCCAGGTGAGGGGACACGGACCCACCTGCAGCCAGAAGGCTCCAAGCCAGGACAAAGACACAGGGACAGACAGACAGACCCACTCAGACTTCAAGGGCCCCGGCAGTACACCTGCCCTGCCCAGCTCTCTGACTCTCACCCTACCCAGGAGAAGGCAGGAGTCAAGACAGGTGGGCTCTGCGGGGCCCAGGGTGGCCACCAGGTCGCAGCCTGGTCCCCAGCAAGGAGGGGCAGGGCCACCTTCCCAGACCCGCTCCATGCCCCCTCCCTGGCAGATGCAGCCTCTTCAGGCCTCAGCAGGGCAGGCAGGGAAACTGAGGCTGGAGAAAACTGCCCACGTGAGTCACCAGCCAGGGGGAAGGTACAAGACTGGCTACAGGGCTCCTGCTGTACACTCCCACCCCTGCAGCGAGTGCCCAGAACCCCAGGGGACACTCCCTCAACTTTGCTGCAGCTGTGCCCAAGCCTGAGCCTGAGCCGTGGAGGGCAGAGGACGCCCGGGGGCCATGCCCAGCACACCCCGCGCCCCTCGGACATGCACACGTTCACAAACATGCAGATGCCTGCCGCTCACCGCTCAGGTGTGGGGTCCCGGCAGCCCAGTGGGTGCCGGAGCTCGACGGGGGCCCCGCTACGCTCGCGGAGCAGCCCCCCGTGCTGGCCTGTGTGGTGCTGCACCAGCTCGGCCAGCGTCGCAAACTTCTCCCCTCCGTAGAGGCCATAGTAGTCGCCCGTGTTTTGGATCTTGATGTGTGTCACCTCATCATGGCGCCTGGAAGGGTGGGCGCACCAATCACTGCTGTGGGGGGGGGGG